GGCAGCATGTCTTCAGAAACAGCACCTGTATTCCTGGAGCCGAGTGGAGCACCTGTCCAAGCAGTACTCTTTACACAGCACTGAGCTGGGGGATACTGGGGGAGGACCAAGCACTGTCCACCTGCAGACCATCATCCGTGTGTGTGTGTGTGTGTGTGTGTGTGTGTGTGTGTGTGTATGCGCGCATTACTTGCCATCACCTATGGCAGAGTGGCAGATGATGCTGTAAGGTGTACCTGGACGGAGGGGCTCCGAGACCCCAGTTACAGAAGCACAAGCCTCACTCCTGCTTCAGCCTCATGTGGGGAAACAGATCTAACCATAAAAACATTGTCTCAGCCGGCCACAGGTTGTCATAGAATTTAAAAGGCAGTAAGGAGGCTGGAGGTGACTGTGGCTGAGAGCACTGGCTGCTCTTAAAGAGGACCAAAGTTCCCAGCACCCACATGGCTCTTCACAGCCACGTGGAACTTCAGGCCATCCAATCCCTTCTTCTGGCAGCAGACACTCAAATGGTACAGACATACATGCAGATGAACAATTATGTATGAAAAATACACACACACACACACATACACATATATATATATAATATGGCCAGGTTGGGAATGGTGACCCATGCTTTAAATCCCAGCATTCTGCCACAAAGGCAGATGTCTTTAAGTTCAAGGCCAGTCTGGTCTACATAATGAGTTCTAGGCCAGCTAGAGCTACAAAATGAGACCCTGTTTCAAAATATGAAAAATTAAAACAAAGAATCTTTTTCTTTTTGAGACAGGGTTTTTCTATGTGCCTTAGATGTCCTGGAACTTACTCTGTAGACCAGGCTGCACTCAAACTCAGAACTCAGAGATCTGCTGGCCTGCCTCCTGCCTCCTCCTGCCTCCTCCTGCCTCCTCCCTCCTGCCTCCTGCCTCCTGCCTCCTTAATGCTGGCATTAAAGGTATGCAGTATCACTACCTAGCAAATAAAGAGTCTTAAACAAACAACAACAAACACACTGTAAGTAGTTGGGCATGATGGCTCAGGCCTGGAATATCAGCACCTGGGAGGTAGAGACAGAAGAATCATTGTAAGTTCAAGGCCAGCCTGACACTGCTATCAGTATTTATTACTTGATCTTAAGAGGACCTAGGTTCAATTTCCAGAACCCACCTGGTAGCTCATAATTATCTGCAATTCCAGTTCTAGAGGATTCGATACCCTCTTTCAGCCTCTAAGGGCACAGAGATGCACATGGTGTAAAGATACCCATGCAAACAAAGCATCCATTTGCATAAAATAAAAATGATAAACAACATAAACAACACAAACAACAATAATAAATAACGGTAGAAAGGCAGGAAGAAGGTCCACTTTGCTAGGAGTCAAGAAGAGAGGAAGCAGCACAGAGCTGGCTTGGACTGGATAGTGAGAATGGAGACAGATAACAGGTCTCTGAGCCAGTGCTCTGAGCAGGCTGCATGGCCAGGGACACAGGGGAAGGGATGGGCTTCACAGACTGCTAGGGAGGCAGCAGGAAGTCATGTGGACAGAGTGGGAGAGGCAGCTTCCAGGGCCCTGGGCATTTGTGGGGTCACAGACTCCCTGAGAAGTGAAACCCTACACTTCTTCACCTCGTTCCTCCCACCCTGTGACAGCAGCTTCTCTCTTCCAGGATCCCATCAGGAATTTTGGAAAGTCCGGCGTCGGAAGCCAATCCCGAGGACCATAACCACTCGACAATCTGTGAGCAGGACCCAATGGTGGACAAAGAGGGCAGCCCGGGCTCAGGCAGCAGCCCCTTCCAGCTCATGGCCTCCTCAGAGGAAGACATCATTGATTTGAAATAGAGTCCTTGTCCCGTCACTCGTCCTTAGTGTTCTTACACAGATTTATACTGTTCATGCAGCTCCAATGTCCAGTCTCAACACAGGGCACCTTCAAACAGGCAGCAGTCCGTTGGATCAAACCTGCTCCCTCAGCCAGTTTGGTCACTCTCCAGTGTCCAGTGCCATCTTTCTTGACCCTGTTTCTTTCCATTCAAGAACCGTCAGTCCCCTTGTAATAAAGGTGGTAGATATCATTAAGGTTTTAGATCAAAACTTTGAATAAATCAAAGATATTCATTCTTATTATCTGCAACCCTTCTCTTATATTTTATAGATTTAGATGGAAATTTTTTTCGTAAATTTTGACTTATGTCATATACTATGTTTCTTTTATGGAAAAAAAAGATGCTGCTTTTTAATTTTGCTATAAATAAGTTTTCTTTCTTGGCCCTGTTACTGCCTGATCACTGGGGTGGGCCCCCCTGCAATCCTTCCTAGAGCCCTGGGAAAGATGAATGAAGCCACCTGCTTCCTCTGCTTCCAAACAATAAGGCAAGGGCAGCTGTCAGAGTCTTACATCTTACAGCTGGGAAGTGTGTTGCTGGGAAGTCCTGCATCCTTGTCTTTGAGAGTTTGCAGACCCCTTCCTTGAGTGGGTCACCTTTTTTGTTTTGTTTGCAGTGTTGGGTACATATCCCAAGGCCTTGCATGCACCAGGCAAACATGCTGTCACTGAGCTCAATCCCAAGCTCCTGCCCTGTTCTTTCTCATGAACCCAGCATTTATCCCTCCTCTTTGAGCTACACCAGAATGTTGAGATAAAGAGGTGGCAGGCTGGAGAAACGCCTCAGTGGTTAAGAGCACTTGCTGTGGCAGAGTCTCTTAGGGTTTCCATAGCTGTGAGCAGACACCGTGACCATGGCAACTCTCATTTAATTAGGGCTGGCTTACAAGTTCAGAGGTTCAGTCCATTATCATCAAGGTGGGAGCATGGCAGCATCCAGGCAGCCATGGTACAGGAGGAACTGAGAGTTCTACATCTTGTTCTCAAGACAAACAGAAAACTGGTTTCCAAGCAACTAGGAAGAAGTTCTCTTAAAGCCCACCACCACAGTGACACACTTCTTCCAACAAAGCCACACCTAATAATACCACTCCCTAGGCCAAGCATATTCACACCACAAGGACCCCGGTTTAATTACCAGCACCCACATGGTGTCTCACAAACATTTGTAACTACAATTCCAGAAGATTCAATGACCTCTTCTAACTTCCAAGAGCAGGAGCCACACACATGGTACATATACATACACTTACAAAAATTCATTTTATACGTGTTAGATTTCTTTTTTAAAGATTTATTTATTTATTTATTTATTTATTGTATTGTACCCTATTGCTCTCTTCAGACCCACCAGAAGAGGGTATTGGATCCCATTACAGATGGTTGTGAGCCACCATGTGTTTGCTGGGAATTGAACTCAGAACCTCTAGAAGAGCAGTCAGTGCTCTTAACCACTGAGCCGTCTCTCCAGCCCAAGTGTTAGATATTTTATGAAACCTTTTTTTTTTTTTTTTTTTTTTTAATGGGCTGGAGAGATGGCTCAGAGGTTAAGAGTACTATCTGCTCAGAAGTCCTGAGTTCAATCCCCAAAAAGCACATGGTGGCTCACAACCATCTATAATGAGATCTAGTGCCCTCTTCTGGCCTGTAGGCATACATGCAGGCAGGATGCTGTATACATAATAAATAAATCTTTTTAAACAGTTTTTTTAAATTATGTGTATGCAGTGTGTCACTGAGTGTATGTACATATGAATATAGTTGCCTACAGAGGCCAAAAAAGGACATCAGAGCCTCTGGAGATGGAGTTACCGGCATTTGCGAGCTGCCCAAAGTGGATACTAGGAACCCAACCCAGGTCCTCTGCAAAACCTGATTTTTAAAATCCCTACCTACCCTAGCCCCCTCCTGAAAAGTAAGCAGTAAATAATGTGGACTGGGACAGACATAAATGAAATAAGAAACAGCAGCCCTGGCCCAGAGGTCACAGGTCACCTTCAGTTTAGCAGCTGATTCCCCTTCATGCTCACAAGGAAACAGCTCTGAGGAGTTCTGATGTCATGGTGTGTGTCAGAAGTTAGAGCTTCAGCCCCTTCCTCCTTTCAGGCCATAGGGAGGACTCCCTCCCCTTTCCCCTTCCTTACCACAGTTGGGCATGATACATGGGACTGAAGGTGCCTGGACCCTCTTTAGCTTTAGAGTGCTGCATCACAACCCCACCAGAAGTTTTATTTAGGTCTATTCTGCCCTTTCTCAAGATGAGGCTTGTGGTGATACATATGGAGAATAGAGGTTCTCAAGAACCATGAACTTTAGATTTTGAGGTAGGGTCTTTCACTAGGATCTGGCTGGTCTCACCAGTGAAGCTATGCTGGATGACCAGTGACCCCCAGGGATGACATTACAGACATGCCCTGCCACACCTGCTTTTGTAAGAATGCTAGAGGATCAAGCTCAGGTTCTCATGTTTACAAAGCAAGCATTGCACCAACTGAGCCATCTTCCAGACCATATTGTCTGCTTTTAAGGTAAGAAAACAGACTCCAAAAGAGTCAATGACTTGAACCTTGTACATAGGGCACACACACACACACACACACACACGTAAACAATATTCACAAATATATGTGTGTAAACATGTAAACAGCACTCATACAAATAAAGTTTAAAATAAAAACAAAAGAAACCACCAAAACAGGGGCATCGAGATGACTCTCCTTGTAAAGGTGGGTGTTTGCCCCCAAGCTTGACGACCTCCGTTCCATCTGGAGGATCCGCTTGGTGGAAGGGAGAAAGCTTACTTCAGACCTGCACAGGCACGCTGTCACCTCGGTCCTCCAATAGATGTTAAGAGAAAAAAAAAACCAACCCACTCACACCCAAACAACCTTCTTCATTCTCATTGGCAAGCTCAGACCTGATGGGCCACGCCTTCAGACTCACACCACGCTCCAATTGGACAATAGTGCCTGGGTCCAGGACACAAGCTCACTGCAAACTCGTACTTGGGTCGCCCGGCGTAGTTCAGCTCCTTTGAGCTTTGCAACCGGCTCTGTGCTTCCATTGGTCAGCTCTGACTGGGGCCGGGTTCTAGCGTCCCATTGGTCACTCCTGCGGCGGCCCGCTCGCCCGAGCCGCGACAGTTCGCGGGTCAGACCCTGCCGACATGTCGCCTGAGGACCCCCAGGAGACGCAGCCACTATTGCGGCCACCGGAAGCCAGGTGCGGACTCCCGAGGGCCGCGGCCACTCTCTCACGCCCGGCGACGCGGCTCACGCCCCGCCTTGTACCCACAGGGCTCCCCGCGGCCGCCGGGTCTTCCTCGCCACCTTCGCCGCCGCTCTGGGCCCCCTCAGCTTCGGCTTTGCGCTTGGTTACAGCTCCCCGGCCATCCCCAGCCTGCGGCGCACCGCACCCCAGGCCCTGCGCCTCGGAGACAGTGCAGCCTCCTGGTTCGGGGTGAGACCGCTGGGGAGCCCCGGGTCCCCCACTCTCTGCCGCACCCCAGGATCCTCCTCATTCCCTTTCCTTTGAGGCTGCGGGGCGTGGGGTGGAGGGATCGTGGGCCATGGTCCCTGGTGGCCTCCTCTTCAGCCCGTCCGGGTCCCTAGGCCATCGTGACCCTGGGCGCTGCGGCAGGGGGCGTACTGGGCGGCTGGCTCCTGGACCGTGCAGGGCGCAAGCTGAGCCTCCTGCTCTGCACCGTGCCCTTCGTGACCGGCTTTGCGGTCATTACCGCGGCCCGGGACGTATGGATGCTTCTCGGAGGCCGCCTCCTCACCGGCCTAGCCTGCGGAGTCGCCTCACTAGTGGCACCGGTGAGTGGTTTGGACCTCCTAGATGACCTTTGCCAGGCAGGGGGCAGCTGGTCAGCAGTGAAGCCATTCCTCGTTGCTCTTTTACTAATGGTGATGTCCCTGTATGCTAGGCAGTGATAACTGGAATGCCCCTATTTTAGTGTTAACTGGGCAGTCTTACTCTGGTTTGTCCCTGGGATAGGCTGCCGGATCCCTTCACTGCTTGCAGCCAAAGCTACATATACTTTGCAGCCCACACACCTGGATCACTTACCTGAACACAGGCTTCTCTCCCAACTTCAGTTTGCTCCCCTGTAAAGTAAGGCCTAGTCCTGAGGTGGCTGCGGCCTTTGCACAGGAAACTGCTGGTCCCAGAACAGTGTCTAAAAAGATTTAGAGGGTCTGAATGTTTAGATCTTAAATCTTTAGAGGATCACCGGCAACCTGTGATCACTGGCCTCACACTCGGATGACCGCGCACCCCTCCCTCGCCCCCACGGCTCCTCATCACCTATTGGAAGTGTGAAGGAGCTAGAGGAAAGGGAAATTGGAGATCTGCAGGGTTTTTGTTTTTTGTTTTTGTTTTTTTTTTGTTTTTTGTTTTTTTTTAACTAGGGCATAAGGTAAGGGGTGAATAATCTAGAAGTATGTATGGATAATGCCTCCTGAGATTAGAAGTGATGGCACCCCTGGTAGGGTTAGGCTGAAACGGACGATTTCAGTGTCCTGAGAAGCACCTGGAGTCAGCCAGCAAGGGAGAAGTCTAACTCTCATTTGTGCATATTAAACGTGTACTGGGCTGGGCCTTGTGGCACATGCCTGTAATCCCAGAACTTGTGGTGTAAATACATGAAAATCAGGAATTCAGGGTTATCCTCAGCTCAGGAGGCTAGCCTAGGCTTCATGAAACTCTAGCTCAAATAAATAAATAAATAAATAAATAAATAAATAAATAAATAAATAAAAGCAAATGAGTGTGGGGAAGCTCTGCACGCCTCTCAGTGCTCATGCACACAGCGGCAACCCATTATCCACAATCCTCTTTAAAAATCCGCAGGAAATGGAGAGGGGCACTCTGCTGAGATACAGCAATACAATTAAACCTTTCTGTTAGAAGAGCCAAGTAAAGTCTCACCTTAACCACCAATAGGTCTATATCTCGGAAATTGCCTACCCAGCCGTCCGGGGACTGCTCGGCTCCTGTGTGCAGCTGATGGTTGTCACTGGCATCCTCTTGGCCTACGTGGCAGGTAGATTTGTATGCTCTCTTTTGATCGATATTAGAACTACGTGGCCACTCTGGAAACTGAGATTCATAGAGGGCAAGAGTTTGCCTGGTGCTGGGTTCTCGGTCACACTCCTGGAGCTTGGGGGACGGGGATCCTGGTAACCAGGTGCCAGGAAGAACTAGAGCAGGTGATTTCTTTGTCCCAGAATCCCACCACACTGTGGAGGGACTCAGTTTCAGTGCAAGCAGGGGTAGGGTATAGGTATCTGGAGTCTCAGCATGCTGTCACTGGGTTCTCAGCAGAATGTCACATGAAGGAGGCTGCTTCCTAAAGATGGTGGCCTGGGGAGATTTCAGAATTTGTCCCTTTGTCATATTTACTCTTTTAAATTTAACAAATATTTATACCAATAAAGACACTGGAGGTATAAACTGAAATAAAAATCTGCTAGCTCAGTGAGGTAATTTTATTTTCTGAACTATATACAAAATGTCTATATATAAGCCTGATCCTACAACTAAACTGCTCACTCTTTAGAGATCTCTTTCCATCTGTGTCGTTCTCTGGAGCTAGTCTGCCTTCCTCTTGAGCTTCTCCAAGCCCAGAAGGCTCCTTAGCTCTCCTTCCTAGAACACCGAGACGCCTGTGTCCTGCCAGCTGCTTCTCTGTGGCTCTTGTAAGCCCAAAGAGAAAATCTCTGTCTCTTATCTGGAGCTCTTGCCATGAAGCTCTTCCAAGCCAAAAGAAAGCAAGAGCCAGCAAGAGAGATCTTTTTCCAAGAGCTGTATAAGAAGTCTCTACTACCTCCTCAATACCCTTGGCAGGTTGAGCCATGTCACCTTCAAGGCTAAGCCAAGCCAGTAGGGGCCTTACTATTTCACCTTTACAGTGGGGTAGGTAGCCCAAGGCTATCTAGCTGACCCTGCCTTATAGAGCAAAGACCACAAGACCTCTCCCAAGCAACTTGCCTTAAAACAGGCAGGAACTTTCCGTTCTTTAGCATTCTTATCTATGGAGGTCTTCAGAGACACACCCAAACTGCATCTCTTCTGGACACCTCCAGCTGCATCTGACAAACTCAGCTTTTTATATTTTGCTAACAATTGGGTTTTCTGTGTACGATAAACTAATATCTTGTAACATTTCATTAGGTGTGGTTGGAAAGAGGGGAGCCTTCAAACTTGACACACGGCCACCTGCTGGGTTTCACTACTCCCCTCCCCACCCCAACTTCATTCTCCGTCTCCAAGTCTCCAGAGCTGTTAGGGCCAAGAGATGTAGTAGCATATGAAAAGTGTCTGATAACACATCCTCAATGAGAACTGTTAAAAGTTGGCTTGAGAGCCTCAGGCGGGGCTGGGTCGGGAGCACTGACCAGCTTCACCTAGTCTGCGTCATACATACTGGCTCTTCACAGTGGACCTTACACAGGCTCTGGTCTTTCGATTTTAACTCCCTTATTGTCCTGGCTCGTCAGTGTCTTCCCAGCAGCCTGGCTTAGCGAACCAAACCCCCTACTAGGCACAGATCAACCACAGTATTACCTCCTGTATGGCTTCATACTGCCTTGCTTTGATCCTACGATGTCCTTTTGACCCACTGATACAAGTTAACTGTGAAAGCAAAACAATGACATGGTGGGAACAGTAGTCCCTCGGTCTCTAGACTTTGTGGAATAGCTATAAGCTACCTTATTGCTGAAGTGAACAGACTCACGCAGGCTGACTTCCACATGAGTGCTGTACCCCGAATGCATGAACACCCACGGACTCTGTCCTAGTTACTTATCTGTTGCTGTGGCAAAACACCATGACCAACGGCCATTTATAAATGTAATCATTTAATTTGGGGCTTGTAGCTCCAGAGGGTCCATGACCTCTGGATCCTCATGGTGGGAGCATGGCAGGAGGCAGGTAGATGTGTCACTGGAGCAGTAGCTGAGAGATCACGTCTCAGTCCACAGACTGTAGGCTGAGATTTAACTGGGAATGGCAAGGACTTTTTTTTCCCCAGTGACACATCTCCTCCAATAAGGCCATACCTAGTCCTTCCCAAACCATTCTATCAACTGGGGACCAGGTGCTCAAACAGGACCATGTTGGGGCCGTTCTCATTCCAACCACCATGCACAAAATAGTTGAATAATGTAATGAAATTTAAAAGACAAAAATTATAATACAAGTATAACGGTTTGGAAAATAGTTGAGCAAGTAGAAGAGCTTGCTGCCCAAGCATGAGGACCTGAGTTCAAATCCCAGCACCTACATAAAAGGCTAAGTGTGGTCATGAGTTCCTATAACTCCAGCACTGTGGTCAGGGAGAGACAAGATGATGTTGGGGCCTGCTGTTCACTAGCCTAGCTCCAGATTCAGTGGAACACCCAAGTCTAGGAATAAGGCAGGCAGCATAGTACACCCCATGGATGCCCTCCTCTGCCTTCCACACTCATGCACTGGTGCATGCGTGGCACATACACACGCGCGCGCGCGCGCACACACACACATAAATTAAAAATTACTTTAAAAGTATAATGTAGCAAGTACATCAAAGCAATAGCAGTCATTTCTAACTGTTGTCAAGTATTTTGCAGCATTGGATGTGACAGAGTACAGCATTTGGCTTACGCTAGCATGTCTACTACAATACACTTTGATGTGTTACCATGGCTACAAGCCATGGCTTGGCAGTGACCATCTTTGAGCTGTTATAATCTTACGTCTTCTGTGCAGTCCACCTGTATTTCCCTTGAGAGAGTCACCTAATGTCCTGATGGAACAGTTCTAGTAGCAACTGTTCCTTTAACCAAATGTAGGCAGAGGCAGTGAGGTGCCCACCATTGGAGTGAGTCCCCGGGTTTGCAAGGGGGCTAGGCTGCCTCACCCTGGCTCTGACATCTGCCTTTGCAGGCTGGGTCTTAGAGTGGCGCTGGCTGGCCGTGCTGGGCTGTGTGCCCCCCACCCTCATGCTGCTGCTCATGTGCTACATGCCCGAGACCCCACGCTTCCTCCTGACTCAACACCAGTACCAGGAGGCCATGGCTGCCCTGCGCTTCCTGTGGGGCTCTGAGGAAGGCTGGGAAGAGCCCCCTGTTGGGGCTGAGCACCAGGTGAGAGGCTGAGAGCAGGCCAGAATGCAGAGCCTGTTCCCAAGTCCACGCACACATCTGAGTGGCAGCTGCCCTCTCCACCCTCAATGAGGACCAGTGCTATCTGAGAAGGTGGGAGCCAGCTGGAGCCTCACTTTAGTTTGTGCTGCCCTCCAACAAGTGAAAGGCCAGGCCTGTGAGGGGAAATGGGTGAAGGCTTAGATTTAATGGGGACCATAGGCAGAGGAGACCTCAGAGGCAGGAGAATGCAGACACTGCAGCTGTGTGGCTTGGTCATCTCTGAATCTTGATGCCCTCATCTCTAGCTAGGCCTCACCATCACCCGGTAGTGCTGAGATCTGTGTACATGGCTGCAGGAGGCCAGCCCTGAGAACACAAACGTGCTTGGCACTCGGGGAGCAGGATTCTTCACCCAGGTGCTGGAGTGTGCAGCCCCTCACAACTCCCCTTCCACATGAGGAGGCTGCAGGGGCCTGTCTGCACACCCAGGGCCACAGGTGGGGTGGGGACAGCAAGGAGGCTCAGTCCCCTCCACCGAAGGGTCCTTGGGACAGGAGAGGGAACACTGACAGGCTGCCTTTGTGACAGGGCTTCCAGCTGGCTCTGCTGAGACGCCCTGGCGTCTACAAGCCTCTCCTCATCGGCATCTCCCTCATGGTGTTCCAGCAGCTGTCAGGGGTCAATGCCGTCATGTTCTATGCCAACAGCATCTTTGAGGAAGCCAAGTTCAAGGTAAGAGGCTTCTCCCCAGCTTGCCTCACACATGTGTGTCAGCCTCCTGGAGCCTAGGGCTTTGTGACCCAGCTTAGCCAGAGAGAGGGAAGGACCTGTCTCTCTCTAGCAGACTAGCATCTCCCCTTCCCCAGGACAGCAGCCTGGCCTCGGTCACTGTGGGCATCATCCAGGTCCTGTTCACTGCTGTGGCGGCTCTCATCATGGACAGAGCAGGGCGAAGGCTACTTCTGGCCTTGTCGGGTGAGGCCTCACGGGGTTCAACCTCCCCAGCTCACATGGGGAGATAGGGCAAGGGAGGCGATATATCATGACTCGTTCTTTTGACCAAGGGACTTTCTGTTCCCAAGACTCCTTTTCCTACTCTGAAAAGGGGAATGGGCTATGGCAACGTCAGGTCCTGGGCCTACACATCCATGGTGCCCCTGGCAGCTGTGACGAGCCCTGTGGGTGTGGGGTTTAATACTGCTGTTGCAGCTCCTGCTCCTGCAGCGGAGAGACTCCTCAGGAACTTCCCAGCATTTGCTGAGGTCTGAGATCCAAAGCAGGATAGGAGTGCTGGCCAATCAGGGGCTTCCGTGCAAGACTCTCAGAGAGCCACACTGCCTTCTAAGTCCTGGGTGCTGCTGGGTCCCCGGCATCCTGTCTAGCCTGAGTTTTTGCCTGCAGGTGTGATCATGGTATTCAGCATGAGTGCCTTTGGTACCTACTTCAAACTGACCCAGAGTGTCCCCAGCAACTCGTCCCATGTAAGCCTCCTGGTGCCCATCTCTGCGGAGCCTGTTGATGTCCATGTGGGGCTGGCCTGGCTGGCTGTAGGCAGCATGTGCCTCTTCATTGCTGGTAAAAAGGGACTCATGGGAGCCTGGGTGAAGGTTGTTGTCCCTCTAACCCACCATGCCAAGTTCTGTAGCACTAAGCTTCAAATCTAGTTTTACTTGGTTTTACCCATCTACTCCTAGAAGCATGACTTCTGTGCTAATAGCTCTGACCATGTGCTGGGCACTGAGCTAAAATTCTTTCACATAATCTCCATGACGGCTTGCAAGCAGGTCCCATCCTTGTCCTGATTCCTAAAAGGGAAGGGGCTGGCCCGGCCTCCCAGCCGGGTTAAGAGCTGATTGATTCCCTAAGGCCTAGTCCAGTTTGTGTGCTGTAACACTGCCTTGTTCCCACAGGCTTTGCAGTAGGCTGGGGACCCATCCCCTGGCTCCTCATGTCAGAGATCTTCCCTCTGCATGTCAAGGGGGTAGCTACCGGCATCTGTGTCCTCACCAACTGGTTCATGGCCTTTCTGGTGACCAAAGAGTTTAGCAGCATCATGGTGAGTGCAGGCCCATGCCTTCCCCCATGTTGTCGGCAAAGGCATGTCAGAGATTCCATGTCCATTACCTTGAATTATAGGCTGAGGTTCCCTCATGCCTGGAACTGCCATCTCCGGTATCATGGAGCCAGAGGCTAGACAAAACAGTGAACCTGGTCTGTGATGCCCTAAGTCTTAAGTCTGTGTTGAGGTGAACATACCTTCCTCACAGGCTGAGGGGGTGTCTGTTCCATTCAGTACTTTATTTCCCTCTCATAACCCTCTTGTGTTAGCTGAGGCTCGAGCCTGCTGGCTTCCCAGCCACTAAAAAGGGTCTGGGCAGATGAGCATGCCATCTGTCCCATCACAGGTGCCCTACAGATCTGGCATGTGCCATGCCCAGGCCTATTCAAGGCTTCAGAGATGGCAGTGACTGAGTTGAACAGAGTCTATCTCATGACAGGTGCCAAGAAGGCAGTGGGTGGCATGTATATCCAGTGTATTTCCAGCTAGCCCGAGACATGCTCAGGTGGGCAGGGTGCCCAGAGAGGGGCACCATGGTATGTGAGAGGGAACTGACAAACTCAACAGTGACCCAGGGCAGCACCCTGTCAAAGAGGCTGGGAAGGGAAGGGTCACCTGGTGTCCTCTCTTGTAGGGAACTGAGAAATGAGGACTTTGCAGGGTCACAGACTCACCCCAACCCCATCACCCCCACTGTCTCTCAAGAGCAATAGTTCCCTCTTCGTCATCACACAGAGAACTTACAGCATGGGACACTGGAAGGCCAAAGGTGCAGGGACTAAGGGAGAGGAGTAATGGCAGCAAGCCTGAGCCGGCCAGGAACAGGGACCTAGCTGTCCCTTGACATTGCTGATCTCAGGGAAGTCACGAGTCCCGTGAGCCTTGGTTTCCCAGGCACATGTCACCTTGAGTTGTGTTGAGCTATTATCTACATGCCTGGGTCTCCAGAGACGTGACAGGCCTGGCAGGGCAGGCTGCAGTCAGGGTGCCCCTGGCTTGTGCAGGGCCCTCTGTTCTCTGGCTACCTCCACATGTGCCTTTCCTCTCTCTGCAGGAGATCCTCAGACCCTATGGTGCCTTCTGGCTTACGGCTGCCTTCTGTATCCTCAGTGTCCTTTTCACGCTGACCTTTGTCCCTGAGACTAAAGGCAGGACTCTGGAACAAGTCACAGCCCATTTCGAGGGACGATGACGGACCCTTTCTGTGACTGGCAGCCCTGAGTTGAACTGGCTTTGGGTTTCAGGAGTGGAATGGCCAGTACCTGAGCCATACCTCAATTTGAGCCGAGAGCCCCCTGACTCCTCAGGCCTCAGGGCCTGCTTTGTCCAGATCTCAACCCAGATCTACATCATGAGGCTCACCAGATTCTGTGTGTGCAGCCTGCTGCACACACCGGACATCTGAGGAGCTGTGCCCGTGGCTCCTGTTCTCTGGCTGGAGATCTTTGGGGTGCTCACACCTAAGCAGCTGCCTGTACTTCACTTGACTGGGGGATCAGAAAGGGACTTAGTCACATAAGAAGCAAGGTCAGGTGAGCCCAGGTAGAAAAGAGGATGTTCTTGTCAACCAAGTCCTCCTCAGAGCTACCCAGCGGTCCTCTGGATTCACCTTGGGGTCAGCCAGTTTACATCACTTACAGGTTCTTTCCAGCTCTTTCCTGGGCTCAGTGTCCTGGGTCATTAGCCACCATATCTTGTTGAGTATCAGGAAATAAAAAGCCTCTTAACTGTTCAACTTTAATGGAGCCAGAAGTCTTTTGTAGGTCACTTGTTTCATGAATCAGTACATACTCACTGGAATAAATTAGAGCATAGATACATTGACATAATTTGTTCAGCAGGCAGTCATCGGCTGGGCACTTTACTTGCATGAAAAAGCTGCCCCTTTCCAGAGGTAACTTACCCAAGTTAGACTGTGGCTCCATCACAAGGCTGCCCTGATACCCACTCTCCACTGTCAGTTATTGAAAGCCGCAGGCTTGGTTGGCTTTGCCCTACTTAAGATACATAAGACTAGACCATTTTTCCCTTAAAAAACTTTGTGATCCTCACCATCCTACCAAAGTCCCCCACACACTGTTAGTGGAATCTACTTGAGGTTTGAGGAGGAGGGATGTTTTTTGTTTTGAGACAGCGTCTCACTGTATAGCCCTGGCTGTCCTGGAACTCAGAGATCCACCTGCTGAGATTAAAAGTGTGTGCTACCATGGTTGACTGATTTTTTTTCTTTTTAAGATAGTGATTCACAATGTAACTCAGGCTAGCCTAAAATGTATTATGTATCCTAAGCTGGCCTAGGAACAACTGCAATCTCCCTGCCTCGGGTTCCTAAGTGTCATTCTGTTCTTGCTGACCAACTTGAGAAGCTGTGGTCCCAGGTTTTCAATCATCAAACTGGTTAATCCAACTGTTTCTTGCTCCTGGGAGCCCATCTAATTTGCTGAAACCTTCACAGAGCAGTCACCTTTCAGGATTGCAGAGGTTTCTCACAGTCCAGGTGTGAGGGAGATGTTTGTCTGCAAATGACACTCCCAGGTGCTCGTTCTCCGTTTTTCTTTCCATCACTGGCAATTGAGCTCAGAGCCGGGTACATGCTAGCTAACCAAACATTCTGGCACCGTGCTGTATCCCCAGCCATCGGCTGCCATTTTATTTTCTGCTTTTTACTTTTGTGTAGAGGTATAATGTATACATGTACATTTGTATGTGTATGTTGGTGTATGTGTGTGGATACCAGATATTGATATGTCTTCCTCAATTGGTCTCCACCTCTTTTTTTAGGATTTAATTGTGTGAGTGTGACTATAGATACACAGAGAGGCCAGAAGCAGTTGATCCTCTAGCGGTACAGGCAATTGTAAGTTGCCTGGTTTAGGGGCTGGGAAAAGAACTCTGGTCGTCTGCAAGGAAGAATACACTTGTGAATCTGTTTTTGTGAGTTTGAGGGGAGGCACTCTCACTCTCTAGTCTATCTTTTTAACCTCTTGATTTCCCCTGTTCCCTCTTGTACTGTGAGGTCACCATTCTCCCTACAGTCCAGACTGTCTGTTTAATGGACACTGTCCTCCCTGGTTTGATGCTTTTCCTCTTAGCTTTTCACTTAAGAGTCTTCTGGAGGGCAAGGAGGACATTGAGACATGTTCTTGCTCTCTCTGTAGCAGCCCAGGCTGTCCTAAAACTCAATGTGTAGCTCAGGCTGGCTTCAAACGTAGTGATCCTATCACTCTGAGTGCTCCAGTCCCAGGTGTGCAGTCCCGGGTGTGCAGTCTCGGGTGTGCAGTCCTGGGTGTGTAGTCTCAGGTGTGCAGTCCCAGGTGTGCAACCTTACACACACTCTCAATGACCCTTTTCTATGTCTTTGCTCTGCATTTGTTTTTTCACTTCATCTTCTGCAAATAGTTTGCTTTGCCAGTCATGCTTTAAAATAATCAATATTCTAAGGATTATGGGAACACTCCTAGTGAAGGGTCCTTGAACAGAATCTGAGTTGGCTTTTGTGGGGTGACATAGTCTTCTGTGGGCTGTTAGGTGACCCAGGTCATCCGTATGAGGGAGGGTTCTCCAGAAAAACAAAACCCATAGAGAGGATGTGCAGAGTTGTTGCACGAGGCTGAGAAGGTCTAAGATCTTGAGAGGGAGTCAGCAAGGTAGTGTCCTGGGAATGCTGGCAGTGTGACACTGGCCCAAAGGCAAGCATAAGACACGGAAATGGCAGTGCTGCTGCCAACCAATGACCATAGCCAGCTTTTGTATGTGAATGCTGGCCTTATTTTTTTCTTACTCTCTGCCTTTAAAGCATCCTATGCTGTTTAAGGGATGGATGCCTTTTCTGTTTTTTCCACCATTTGAAAGTCAGGTTGATTGAGGCATTATTTACATAAACAGAATCCAACAATAAATAATAATGGCAAGCTGCAGTTACGAGCTGCCACCACACTCAAGGTACAGGACGCTTTCCTCATTGCCTGTTCACATCTCTGTGCACCTCTTGTGTACGTCCTATATCTGGGACTCTGAAAACCAGAGTCTGGCCTATGCTCTCTGTTCAGCTTCCTGTAGAATTTTATAAAGATGTAACCACACAGTTTGAGGCCTCTGCCTGACTTCGCTAATGAAGGCACCTTTTGGACTCGTTCATGTGGTTGGGCGCATCAACAATTCATTTCCTGTATTTCTGAGTAGATTGTCACTGGACATTGAGCTAGTTCCAGTTTGGGGCTATTACTGGGGTGGGGGTGGAGCCTCATTGCTATACTTTTGCAGACAAATCTTCTGTGTGGAGTGGAGCTGTTAGGCCACATGCTAAGTTTACTTTAGAAGCTGCTTCAACTTCAACTGAAGTTATCCTGTTTCCTATTCCACCAGCAGAGCTCTTGAGGCCCCTGTACTTCATGTTTATACTTCCTGTTATAAATAAAGCAAGCTTTAGGTTTTTACTTCTTTGAAAGCTGTCATCTATTTTCTGATTTCTCCTCTGATAGTTGATTTATCTCACATATCTGGTATGCTTTGTCCATGCTTATGCTTAAGGCTGGAGAACCACAGGCTACATGATAGTTCTTGGCATACGTCTCCCAACTCAGCAACCCCGCCAGGCACTACAGACTTGTTTCTACTTACACTTCGGATGTCACTTCAATGGGATTTGGCAGGGAAGAAATGGAGCTAAGTGTGTAAGTTTAGTCCTCCTTTAGTGCTGTAATCCCAGTGCTGACATGGTACCGAGCTAAGTGTGTAAGCTTAGTTCTCCATTAGTACTGTAGTCACAGTGCTGACATGGCACCTGGCAGCACAGCCGCTCAGATATTTGCTGGATGTAGAATTATTCCAGAGTACAGCTCTATCAGTACTATATTAAATATAGTCAACACTATATTAAACACAGAACTTAAATGAGCTCTGTATCCCACATTAGGGTGCTTTCAGTCTCTTGTTTATTGAGAATTCAGGTATCATGATAGAGGTAAAGGTGGAGACAGCGTTGGTAGAGATGGATGGAAAAGCAGAGACACTGACAGGGCTGTGGTGTTTGGGGGGGTGTGTGGAGGGAATCGTGGACAGGAAGGAGGTAACAATAGAACAGATGTCTGAACAAACCTTAGCAGGGTGAACCCTTACAGGTGTGGTTGCTGGTCCATAAGGTGCACACTGAGCAACCCATCCTTCCTGATAAGCCACAGCAGGCTGCATCTGAAAAGGAGCCTCCCTCTGCGACCAAGGCAGTTCTCAGGGGTCAGCAGCAAGGACCATGGAAAGGACCTCAGACAGGTACAGATGTGACTATGACTAAGTGGTCTGCCCACACCACTGTCCCCTCAAGCCACCCATTCTCTGCCACAGAAGAATGGTCCTTGAAAAGGAAGACTGTAGCTTGGCTACTGTCCAACCTTGTCAGTGGGCCAGGAGGCAGGTAGAAGTCAGGCCCATAGGCCATCAGAGGGGTAACTAAACATGTAGGCAATATGTCACTGTGGCTTCAAGCCGTATGCCCTGTCATCTGGGGGCAGGAGCCAGGCAGCTTGGGAAAAGGAGTAAGCACTATGCTTGGTTCAGATTTGAGTATACTTACTGCTCACAGCCTGTGACCCAGACCATCACTTAAGCTCTCTGGACCAGTTACTCATCTGTAAATGCATGGTGCCGAGGTATGCGAAGTGCTTGGAACTGAGGATGGCAGAGTAAGGGCTGGGTGCATGGCAGCTGTTGGTGAGGGCTGATAGGAAGCTGCAAAGTGTTAAACTCAGGGATACATCATAAATGGATGTTTGAAAGGGAGATTTCAAGATGGGGCTTCACTATAAACCAGGTTGGCCTTGTCTCAATCCTTCGTCTCCCAGTGCGGGGTTCCAGATGTATACTTCCTGGCCTGAGGTATGAAATACCTAAAACCTTTTCTTCTGTCTTAGCCTCCACCCTGCTGCTCAGTATACTACCTTCTATCACCACCCCCTTCTAGATGCCAGTGCTTATATTCCCTCAGTTCTCGTTAGTCTCCGGAACCTTCCCAACAGAGTATTAATTTTGACAGCCAAGAGCCAGGGGACAGTCCTGTATCTGCTCCCAGAAGCCCAGGTCAGCACCATAAGAACAAGACATGGAGAGGGGCAGGTGGTCATCCTCAGAGGTGCAGCAGACACAGCTTTATTCAGCCCACGCTAAGAAATCTGCACTACCCATAAATGTCAACTACTCCTTAACACATCCATACTACCACCCGAACAGCGTGGACAAATTCTGACGTCTGCAAAGCGCAAAAGTGGCCTAACACCCCTAAGAAGCTATATATTGAATGACATCACCTGACTCCCGAAGAACTCTACTACCTCCCGGCGGCCAAAAGTGAGAACACAGGACTAAGGCAGGAAACATGCTAAAGACCCGCGGCTCTTACAGGGGTTAGTTGGCTCCTACTAGGCCTTGGAACAAGATCACCCGGGCTCCAGAGCTCATCCTGACAGCGGAACAAGGGCAGTCAGCAGAATAGGGTGAGGTCCAAGCTGTTTTTTCTCTTTCTTCCTGACCTTCCCCTACCATGCTCCAAAACTTGCTTGCAAAGTTAATTTCCAACGTTAGCGGGAAGAAACGTCACGTGTTCTCTGGGACAGGCCACTGAAACGTCCTTATATATCAGCGCGCCACTGCCAGCATAAGCACCCTTCCCGACATCCCTGGCGGCCTGGTCCCTTCCTGTCCGAGGTTCTACATCCGGACCCTGGTGCGCCTGAAAGTTGATGGGCTCTCAGAGTGGACTCTGGGAGCAAGGACAGGAATGCGTGGGTTGGTGGCTGGGGAAGCTTCTGTCTAAAACACCCCACGAGGCAACGAGGGTCACATTCCTAGCGACTGCGGTGGGTGGACTGCGCATGGCCGGAAGTGACGGGATTCTGGTGCGCCTGTCGTGGGATTCATACGTCCCAGAAGCTTCTGCCGGTGGTGCCAAGTGTGCTGTGTGGGGAACAGGTGGGTCGTGGCAGAGCTGTGCGCTTTTTCCCCAGATGTGCGTAATAGCCCCCGACCACGCTTTCCACGCGGTCTGGGCCGAGACTTGTGGGTCCTGAGGAGTTTGAGGACCTCTGGCCCGAGGTCTGTGCGTACACATCTGCAGTGCTGAGAGGGCAATGGACGACTTTAGCCTTCCGCCCGCTGGAACCAACTAGGGGCTCTTGGAAGGAGACACGGGTACTCTTACCAGCTGAGACATCTCTCCAGGTTTCTTTTTTCGACTAATTGTTACCCAAGATGACCTTGTATTTAAGATCTACTTCAGCCTCCAAGGCTGCCACAATTACAGCATGTGCTGGGGGAGCTTGTCTGCCCTGGTGGTCCAGCTGGTTTCTAGAAACCCATACTGTGTAGAAAGGTGTGATTGACACTGATGCCTAGTTTGGTTCTGGGTAACACTGGCCCACAGCACAAGGACCCAAGGTCTACGACCAGAGCTGCTTTGTGGTTAACAGGACTCCACAAGCAGCATAGGCCTCATTGGCACCGCCTTCCTATCCTCCACAGCAGAATATATGGGTGCTGGGGTCACAGCACACATCCTTGGTGAGCTGGAACTGACTCAACCAGTTTATATTGAAATCATGTGAGTGCTGGGAGTCAAATTCAGGTCCACTTGATGCCCCACTAAGTCACTGCTGTGTCCCTAACAATTGTATTGGCTTTTTTTCCTCTAAATACAAGCATAACTTAGTGTTCATTGGAAGAAAATCACAAGACAGGTCACCTGGTAATCCCGGATAGCATTATTTTCCCTTGTATACAGTCACTGTTAATGCATTTGATCCAGGTTCAAGCTGCTTTTTCAACATGCCCTATTCTATCTAATGTCCTTTGTCATCAATTTTAACCTACCAAAAGCACTTTTCCTAGACTAATGGAAAATGCTGAGGGTTAAAAGTGATTGCTGTGCAAAGATCCCTAGATCCCATCTATACACCTCCAGAGCAAGCTTTTTTGTATTGTTGATCTGACTAAAATAATAAGACTGCCTCAATAAAACCAAAGAATCTAAGACTCTTCAGCTCATAGCTCTGAACTTCACTAATAACACCCAGATTCCTTCCAGGCTGTTCTGTGCCTGCACCACACCTGGACCTTTTGAATCAGTCTTCCTAGATCCTGCTACCACGGCCATACTGAATATTCCAAAAGGAACAACCCTCCCCTGCCCCAAAAAGGCAGCAAAGCCCACTGATTATCAGATCATCTTTTATTGAAATATTTTCTTGTTGCTTCTTAACTCTGTGGGAAAGGTAAAAAAGAATTGTCTATCACCATGGGAATATAAATAAAATTAACAATCCCCCTTTTAAGACACCAGGGGCAAGAAAAGCCCAGCTTTCTTCCCCCACCCTGTTTTCCCCTAATATAACATGCAAAGTCACTTACAGCTGGGCACTCCACTGCACCACTGTTGATGTCATCTATGATGTCATGAGGGTGGCGGCCATCCACATTGCAGCCCACAGACTGTGCAGTACCAAGGATCTCCTTGATAGTCCCTATATTAAGAATGGTGGCCTCAGTCCCAGGATAAAGGGGGGGGGCACATGACAGTGCCATTGTAAGAACAGAGGGAAAAAATGGCTCCATGGGTGGTAAAAACACTGCATCCCAACCTTAAACCTTCAATAGCAGAAGGGCAGCCATTAAGAGAAAATAACTTGCTCTTACCAGAAAGTTCTCTGGCCAAAGAGCGGTGTCTCATCTGCCGGGCAATGCTGACAATCTCATCAAAAGTGATGTTTCCGCTGTGTTTAACTGCAGAAAGAAAACAAGTTTTTTAAAGCTCCTGCCCTATGTTCTAAGACAAGATTATGGTTCCATTTTACCATTTCTACGCTGTCCCCATGCTTTCGGCACAGAGTCATCCACATGTAGGACAACCCTGTTTCCTAAAAGCTGGGGCTTACTATCAGCTCACCACTGGATTGCACCAGCCAACAATACTGATCAGGTGCAGTGGCGGGTGGCTAGGGCGGAACCCAGTCCTCACCAGTAGCCCCAACACATGATCTCAGGGAGGGGAACAGATAAGCTTAAATCCCCAGAATGTCAACCAACCATGAGGCACCCACTGAAGGAGACATGCAACAACACATGATCTAATGTTCCCTCATTCCAGCCCAAGGTCTCATGAAATGGACTGACACAGCTGAGTAGCGGCCTGGAATCAACTTACTGTTCTTCTGCTTCTTCCTGTCTCTTGGAGGCTCCTTGAGGGCTTTGATGATCAGGGCAGAGGCAGAGGGCACCACCTCAATCTGCAAGGAGACTTGATATGAACACAGCCCAGGAAACCTCCAATAACCATACCACCACACATGTTAAAGAGGCCAACAGGCTAATTAAGCTAGGACTGACCACCATAGTTGAATCTGTGGACTACGGACTAGCACTGTGGTCTCACGCACCCTAGCACCCACCACCGCCTGCACAATGAACATTTTTGTCTCGTAGCCTTCCCACAAAGATAAAAATTGATTCATTAGCGCTTATAAGACCCGTGATTCCCGATGGCTGCTACCTCAACCCTCCCCCCACATCAAGCAATGTAAATACCTGGGCCTGTCTGTTCTGGATGGTCAGTTTCACCGTAATCCTCAGACCTTTCCAGTCACCGGTAGCCTTGGCAATGTCATCACCAACTTTTTTTGGAGACTGTAGAAATAATGGCATTAGTTACCACGTGTCCAAAGCTGAAGCCAGGACTCCAGCCCTCCTCACCATTCCACACGATCCTGCCCACAGCTGCCCACATTTCTTTACTAAGCCAACTCTGCACCAAGGGCTAATGCAGCAAAACACTTTCTATTGCAATGGGGCACCCTAGGAGCTTCAAATACTCGGTTCCCCTGTGCTGCCTATGGAGTGTGTGACTTTCAAGGCGCATAGGCTAGTGGCTGGAGCATAAGCAGGCCCGATGACTGCCTCAACTGGGCCATGGCACGAGCCGATATGCACGCGCTATCTCAGTTTTCCTGAGAGTCCGAGCACACACACTAGCCCGCAACAAGCACACGGTGCCCTCTTCTAACCTCCACAGGAACACAACACGTGAAGGCCAAACAGCATGCACGTTAGAGGTCGCGGTTCTCAGTAGCAACGACTTACCAGACCCAGAGGACCGATCTTAGGAGCCAAGGCGGATGTGGCGCCGACCTCACCTCCGGTGCACCTCAAGTACACTGAGAAAAAACAAAATTAAGAGCCTCTGTGGAGTGCGCCGAAGCCGCGCTGCCGTCGGCCGCAGACCTCCCGGGCCAGGCCTTACCCTAAGGCGCACAGGCTGCCAGAGCGTCGGTACTCCCTCCCCTCTTACACACGAGGACGCCAAGGCCCAAGGGAGACCCGCCAGGCCCCGGGACAGCACGCGGCGGAAAAGGCTCCACCAGTAGCCCGGGCGCGGCGAGGGCACGCACCGACTTTGATCTCGTTGGGGTCGAACTTGGGCGGCATGGCGGAGGCGGCTGGTGTCGGATGAACCCGGATTCGGGACGACCGAAGAAAGTTGCACCGTTGCCTCCTCCGAGCCGAAAGCCGAAAAGACGGACGTCGCTCCGCCCACGCCGGATATAGGCAGGAAAGCCCAGCTCTCGCGATAACCGCTGGCTCCACCCAGTCTCTGGGCGACACCCTTGACGCCCTGTTTTTTATGGGCAGTACGGCTGAGGACTGCAGAGCTGGGTCTATGGGTGAGCTCGGGATTCGAACGGGGTAAATGTTCGGAGCACCTTGCCTGGGGACCGTCAAAGTAGAAGGGCTGCATCAGAGGTCCTGATTCCTGATGTACTCCACGTTCCCTTCTCTTGAGGGTGACTCTGGAGTCCCTAGTAGTCAGCCCAGGGCTCCGCCCCTCCCCTAAGGGCTCGTACACTTGGCTTCGGGACCCTAGTACCCTTCTAACCCATTTTCGGTATATGCATGTTAGTTACAGGAGCAAACTGTTCGGTTCTAAATCACGACTCTTAATTCTGCAGTTCCTTGGTTTCTAGAATCTCGAGACTTTGTCATCCTGAGTTGCATGTCTTTCTAAAATTTAGAGTTTCGGTCCTCACTTCCCATGTTTGAAGGAGACCCGACTTCCAGCTCAGCTTTTTGGGGCCTATGGTTTGTATCTGTGGCCAAGCCTTCAGAGTGACTGGCCTACCTTGAGGTCCACCCGAGAATCGGAACATCAGTGGAAGACCTCCCCATCCACAAAACCAGGTTAGCCGCTGGCCAGCCCTGCCAGGGAAGGATGGGTGTGGTTCTTTCCAGCCAAGCTGGACCATCAGGCAAGTTCAAGCCAGAACTGAAAGAGCCCTCTTGAGAACAGAGAGGGGCTTGGGGGAAGATGATCACTGAAGAAGGTATTTGGAAATGTAGACCTGGAGGATAGGGGAGAGGAAGGGCTGGTCATTAGTGAGGAGAAGGATAAGTCATGGCCATCGGTAAGGGATGGAAGAAAGCTGTTTCTGCGTCATTCCTCAGGAGTGCCTGCAAGTGAGGAAAGATCCCTGAGCCGGCCCTGCAGGCCCAGCAACCTCCTCTGACAGCCCACGCCCACGAATCTGAAATCTCGAAGGACCAACTGTGTCCTCAACTGCAAGACTCCTAGCCCTCTTCTCCTTAGCAACTGTAATATTCCCTGAATCCATTTGTCATGTGTGTGGTACCCTGTGGCAGATTTTATGGCGGAGACCTGACATTCATGAAATCACTGCGCCACACAGAACCCAGCATTGGCAACATTGCTCCATATTACAGATGAGGAAACCGGCTCTGACCGGTGACCCAAAGTGATACAGCTAATGTCTTAGGTGTCTAAGCCCATGCTGTTAGCTACATACTTCCTCCAGATAATTGTGTCCTTCCTGTTGCTGGCCCTTACACAGCACTGAGAGTTGCAGATTCTGGGCCAGCTATGGGCAGCCAGCTTCTGAATTCAGGACAGAATGATTAACTTGGCTAAACTGGGAGGTCCAGGACGCGGTGCAAGCTGCACAGGATCAGGCAGGTGTCCCAGGCTGCTGTTTCTAAGTCATATAATCCAGATGACTGAACTTACTGAGCACCAGATCCCCACAGAGATGGAATGAGAGTCAAACAAGTAATGGCTGTAAGGGTGGTAAGGTGCCTGAACAGTGCATTTTCATTTTTATTTAACTCATAGAACTCTTTAGTATTGATATAGCTGAGTTTCCCCAAGTCATGGCTACCTTCAGTTTGGTCTTGATGGTTCCATTCTGGCAGTTTCCAGAGCTAGAAGTAACTGACCAGCTGAGTCTGTCAAGAGTCTTCAAGGAGCCGGGCAGTGGTGGCACACGCCTTTAATCCCAGCACTTGGGAGGTGGAGGCAGGCGGATTTCTGAGTTCGAGGACAGCCAGGGCTACACAGAGAAACTCTGTCTCGAACCCCCCCCCCAAAAAAAAAAAAGAGTCTTCAGAGAACATCCTTGGAAGGCACCTGAGAGGCTCTTCTCTAAGGTGGGGAAGTTGGGCTTAGCACTGGGAGGGTGATGCCGGCACTGCAGAGGGTGCTTGGCGTGTTTCTGCTCTTTCCACCCAGTCTGTGTTTATTGCTTTGTCAGTAAACAAAATGTTGAGTGCTGCTGTGTGGGCTCAGGGCCCAGCTGGATGAGGCAGACAGCCCTGCCCTCATGGAACATACAGACTTGCAGACCAGCTGCTGCACCTCTGAGCTGCCTGTCTGCAGGTCAGATACAGTGACCTCTTTCCTGTCCTCCAGGGTCCAGAAGAACTCACACTGGAGGATGCCCCTCTTCTTTCGGAAGCGGAAACCCAGTGAGGAGGCTCGAAAACGCCTGGAGTACCAGATGTGTCTGGTAAGACAGTGTATTGTCTCTGGCTTCTAGGCTACACCTTTGCACCTGGAAATGTCTCCACGGGTGCTTGTTCTGGCTTCCTGCTGCTGAGAGTGCCCTTCCTCATTGGATGAGTGTGTGGCACTACCTATTAGTTTCTTTCCCTGCTGGACCTCAAGTCACTGGGCCACAGAGGGAGGCTGTGGCTGTGGCCCCTTTCAGCTGCTTGCATCTATGGGGCTTTCCTTACTTTCTCTATTCTACAAGTAATGTTTTACCTGAATGCTTTTTGGGGTTTTTTTTGCTTGTTTGTTTGGTTGGTTGGTTTTGTTTGTTTGTTTGTTTGTTTGTTTTGTCTTGGGAACTGGGTGTGGTAGCTTACACCTGTGATCCCAGCCTTTGGGAGGCAGAGGCAAGAAGAGGCCACAGGCTCAGTGCTATGGAGGGCTACGTAGTGAGTTCAAGGAGAGACACTGCTGCTTGTGCTCTTGCAGTACCTAACCCGGCCACTGAGGGCAGAGTTAAAGAGTCTCAGAAGGTAATACAGAGAGCCAACAAAAAAACAAACAAACCACTTCAAGGCTGAAAATAAACAAACAAAAAACCCAGTTACCACTAATCTTAAGAAGCAAAACACTGAATGCTCACAGGATGAACAGAACTTTTGTAAACGTACAGAAGGAGTGGAAGACTTTTAGGGGCATAGGAGGTGGAACTGGATTTCTCTCGGGTAGAGTCCTGGCTGTCCTGGAACTTGCTCTGTAGACCAGACTGGCCTCAAACTCAGATCCTCCTGCCTCTGCCTTCCAAGAGCTGGGATTAAAGGTATATACACCACCGCTGCCCGGGAGATTTGACTTTTTCAAAAGCCTTTCTCTTGAAGCTACGCAGAAAGCTAGTTCTTGGGAGGCCAGTTTTGTCTACATGATGAGTTTGAAGCGACACGAGACCCCTTCTCAAAAGCATTTCACTTAAAAACATCTGTTTCTCCTCAGGCAAAAGAAGCTGGGGCAGATGACATTCTTGACATCTCTAAGTGTGAGCTCTCCGAGGTAAACCAAGGATGATGCAGACTGTGAATTTAATCTGTCCTGTTTTTGTTTCTTTTCTTTTATTTGGGGGGGGGGTGTTTCGTTTTTTGAGACAGGGTTTCTCTGTGTAGTCCTAGCTGTCCTGGAACTCACTCTGTAGACCAGGCTGGCCTTGAACTCAGAAATCCGCCTGCCTATGCCTCCCAAGTGCTGGGATTAAAGGCGTGCGCCACCACCGCCCGGCTGTCCTGTTTTCTTGAGTCCTTGGGAAAAAACAGTTGTGGAATGAGACTTTCAAAATAGAAGTAAAGACAGGCAGGTAGCTCTAATGAAATGCTGGCCCTATAAGCATGAGGACTTCTCTGGGGCTTACTAGCCAAGCGTCCTAGCTGAGTCAGTGAACTCTATGCTCAGTGAGAGAATGTCTCGAAACGTAAGGTAGGGAGAAGACGTCCGATGTCTGCCTCACTTGTGTGCAAGTGTACTCATACACAGCCAGAAGCACCAATTAAGAGATGCCCCTTATACGTGTTCTTTTCTAAAAGAATTGAGATGGTCTTTTGGCCTCAACATAACTTCCAAAAGTCAGGGCCTACTTAGAAAGTGAGCCAAGTGGAGTGGAACATACCTTAATTCCCAGCATTTCATTAGCAAGGCAGAGGAAGGGAGGAGTTTAAGATCAACCTGGGCTACATAGTAAAACCTTGGAGAAAGGCAAGAAGAAAGCTGTAGACAAAACTCAAGCATGTCCCCAGTACTGTAGGGGAAGGGAAAATACATCTACAGATCTCTGAGGAGGTGGAAGAGTAGATTCTCGACCTGTTGATGGTTCCTGATACCACAGAGTAGGTAGGCCAGAGCAGGCTGGGCAGTGTCCTGCCAGCTGACTAGAAGAGGGCTGAGCTGACAACACCCCCAGCTCCCTTATTCCTCTCCTAGCTCAGCACTGTTCTCCGGGACAGTAACTTACTGTCATCAGTCATCTCCCAACACTAGCGCTACAGAGAGAGAGGTGAGACACTGGCAGGTGATGAGCCACTGACCCTTCTTTGTTTTATCTTAGATTCCATTTGGGGCTTTTGCAACGTGCAAAGTTCTACAGAAAAAGGTGAGTCGAATCATTGTTCAGAAACTCACTTGCTGAATGTCTCCTTGGGGAAAACCACAAGGCATTTAAAGGAACTATCGTCCCCACAGTCACCGTCCTTCTCTCTGGTCCTGACACTTCCAACCTGCAGAAGAGGTGGTCACAGTTAGGAGAGCAAGCTCTGGGCTCAGCCTTTCATGAGCTTTATGACTTAGATAGTTTCCTTACAGGCTCACACCTCTGTTTCTTCTATTAACTTCTTTTTAAGATTTATTTACTTTGTGCATGTGAATACACTGTCGCTGTCCTCAGACACACCAGAAGAGGGCATTAGATCCCATTACAGATAGTTGTGAGCCACCATGTGGTTGCTGGGAATTGAACTTAGGACCTCTGGAAGAGCAGTCAGTGCTCCTAACCTCTGAGCCATCTCTCCAGCCTTGTTTTGTTTTGTTTTTGTTGTTTGTTTGTTTGTTTGTTTTTTTGAGACAGGGTTTCTCTGTGTAGCCCTGGCTGTCCTGGAACTCACTCTGTAGATCAGGCTGGCATCGAACTCAGAAGTCCACCTGCCTCTGCCTCCCAAGTGCTGGGATTAAAGGCGTGCGCCACCACCGCCTGGCTCTCCAGCCT